TGCACGGATGGGCAGAGGGAGGTCAGTGCGGCTCGCTTGCCGCAGCAGCGCGTGCAGGCGTGCGAGGACGCACACCCGTCAGTGCAACGAGCCGGAAGCTGGCGTCAGGCTCAACCGGCAAACACTAGACACTGTCCCTCCGGGTCAGGAGGAAGAGGCTCGCCCCACGGGCCAGGGCCAGGGATGGACCCGAGATGAGTTAACACTGGAAAGGCTGAGCCTCCAGCCTACAAACCACCACCAGGCCCGGCCCGGAGTCACAGCCGCGGCGCGGGCGCACTCGGACAGGAGCCTGCGAGGCGGAGGCACCGTCCCTGCCCCGGGCGTCCCGAGGCCACGCCAGGTCGGGGAGGGTTTACAGACATTGACTCCAAATCCACCCCCAACTGCACCAAAGCACCAGCAGCGCCTCCTGTCCGCCGCGGGAGAGACCCTCCCACCCCGCGGTTCTTAGGGCCCCGTCCACACACCACCAGGCCCGGGAGGCAGGGCCGAGGATGGGAAACCAGGAAACCGCAAGGATCGCGAGTAAATATTGACAACCTGGAACCATAACGTCTGGAGGAGCTTAAAGTCTATGTAAAACTAAAACACACAACAACAGCACCCAAGGCCAGAGGCAGGAACATGGCGTCAGGATGGCCCGGGGTCCTGGCCTTGTCCGGGAAGAAGTAAACAACTCACTTGCCAACAACTCTAATGGGCCAAGGCTTCGCACCAAACAGCCTCGTAGACGGGAGTGCGGCGTGGACACACCAGCCAGCAGGCCAGTAAGGGAGACACTGGGGCCCTGGCCAGGGTGGCTCAGCGGGTAGAGCATCAGCCCGTGGACTGGAGGGTCCCGGGTTCAACTCCGGTCAAGGGCACGTAGCTTGGTTGCAGGCTCATCCCCGGCCCCAGGTGGGGGTACATGTGGGAGGCAACCAATCAATGTGTCTCTCTCACATCGATGTTTCTCTCTCTCTGTCTCTCCCCCTCCCTTCCACTCGCTCTAAAAAATCAATGGAAAAATATCCTCAGGTGAGGATTAAAAAAAACCAAATACTTAAAATGCTTGATTTATCCAAAAGATAGCAAAGAGAAAAAAACAAATAAGAACAGATGGGACAAATGAAAAACAAAGAGTAAGACGGAAGCTTTAATGCCCCCAAAATCAGTAATTACATCAACTGTAAGTAGTCTAAATACGCCAACTAACAGACCGGATAAAACAAAACAAGACAAAAGCCAACCGTCTGCTGTTCTAAGAGACGCACCTTAAAGGGAGAGACAGACCAAGAGGAATAGGTGGAGAAAAGCACGCTGTGCCAGAAAGACCACGCCGAGCGGGGCCGCTACACGGTACCAGGCAAGGCCCCGCCTCCCACGAGAGAAGCGTTTCCATAGAAAAGGCCCCCCGAGAAAAAGGGTCCCTTTAACAAGATATAACCACCTTCCTGTCCGTCCCTCAATACACAGCTGCAGATAAGAGGCAGGACTGGGAGAAGCCGTCTACAGCCACAGGGGGAAGACATTCCTCCCCCAGGAGGATGAACAAGGTGGGAAGAACAGGGAAGCTCTGAACGTCGCAGCGCAGCCTGACCCAACCCGCGTGCAGCAGGTGCAGACACTCAGCAGGGAGCACCCCGGGGACCTCGCTGGCCACAGAGTCGCTGCCGACGACCAAGGGCTGAGCCTCAGTGTGTGTCCCCCACACCTGCCGTGCTCGGGGTGGCCCCCCACCCTGGCACCCAGGCCACCGGAGCCCCTCCTCCCCCCCCCGCGGCAGCTCAGGGCGCTCACCTGGGAGAAGAGCGAGTTCCTGTGCACCTTCCTGTAGATGAGTGCTGGGCAGATGAAGCAGATGAGGCTCCCCATGGTGGCGCCCGTGAGGCCCAGGATCGTCTCCACTGGGGACAGAGGGACAGGACGGGACGGGTGACAACGGGCTCCTGGAGGGACGGAACGGGAGCTTCCAGCCCACACGGCGCCCCCGACAGCCTGGCACGGGGGCCTAGCCAGGCCTCGCCCTTGGTGCCCACAGGCCACTCGGGACCATGCGGGCAGTGTGGCTGCTCTGCCCACGGTCACGTCTCAGGCGGGCTCCCTGCTCTGCACCCTGTTTCCTCCCTAACACACTCCGTCCCTCGGGTTCTGGTGACACTCGCTTGCCCATCCGCAGGGGGCGGGCGCCTGACGCAGAGGCCCCGCTCAGGGCCTCCCTCCCCCTGGGGAGGCACCACCTGAATCGGGGCGACAGGGAGGAGCTGCTTTCAAGACACAAATGGGGGACCCCGACACGGAGCAGAAGACCCTGAGACGCAGTGGCCACCGAGTGCCCGTGGGTAACGGCAGGATGAGGACAGGACAGGATCGTGTGGTGGAGGGGGGCCCAGAGCGGCCCTCCACTTACCGTTGGGGATCATGATCCCACCAACCATGGTCCCAAACACGACAGAGAGGGTGAGCGCTTTGAACCGTAGGGGCGGCATATAGCCTCCAGCGGCGAAGGTCCCGTCTTTTTGCTGCGAGGGAGGAAACACAGGAAAAGGTTTGGAGGTGCGGTTTTCCCACGGCCACCCTGGGGGCGAGCACTCAGGGCCTGGCCGGCACGGAGGCCCCACCGCTGCGGCCGAGCAGCTGTGACGTGAACCCGCAA